GGAAGGAAGGAAGGAGAAAGAAAGAGGGAGGGAGAAGGAATAGAGAAGGAAGGAAGGAAGGAAGGAAGGAAGGAAGGAAGGAAGGAAGGAAGGAAGGAAGGAAGGATGGATCATGTGAATCAAAGCAAAACAATTTTTGAGTCGTACTAAAAATAAAAAAACCTAAGATTGATTTAATTAACTGCATAATTACTTATTAAACTCTCTTAAATACAAGGAAGCGCACATTTTCTCCTGCTGCAACATTAAACATGTCACTTTGAGGGCAGCTTTTGAAGGGGACGATTCTTTTTCACCTGGCAAACCTTCCCAGGGGCATCCCCTTTGCCCACAGTAGCTTCAAAGAGAAGCTAAAGAAGAACAGAAAGTGGGAGACAACCTTAAAAAAAAACCACCCAAACCCCCTCAATTCCAGTAGTTTTAAATTCCAGGAATCTCCTTGTAGGTTCTGTCCTGGCGCATTAACTGTGATATATATTATTGATAGACTGTAATCCTAAAAAAAAGACAGAAATATAAGTCTGACATCGCAACATATGTTTTCCCGGCCCCCGAATCTGCCAGACTCACTGACAGATTTCGGTGTGTGCCTGCTTCCAATTTAGAACAACTTCACAAAGACACAGTATTCTTGCTATGGAAGAGCTGACAGCCGCTCCTCGCTTAGTAGTGCTGACAATGTTTTGATGCTAAAAGAAGCTTCTGGAAAAAAGACGCTCAGCAAAATGGACCTTCATCTGCATTCAACGTACCCATCTCTGTTTTTCATTACTACAAGCAGCTGGCTGGCTTTTTCCAGCTGAAGAAAAGGAAGGGGAAAAAAAACCTCCCACAATAACACAACTATGGGGGGACGAAGAATGTGTTACCTTTGGTACAGAGCATCTCCTTCGGTTTGGCCATCGCTGTGTGCATCATTTCCCCCCAGAGGTGCAACATGGGACATCCAAGAGAGGATCCACAAAACAAAAACGAGAGAGAGAGAAGGGTGGGGATAGTTAGTAATCACAGGAGCTAAAAATCCAGTTTATTCTCTGAGGGTCAAATCCCACTTCAAATAATATTCCACTGCTGCCTGTATTTTGAGAATATAAATGGGAAACAGTACCGAGAAGGGGCAAAGATTTTGAAATAGTGGGGTCTTAAGTAATTCTCTGAGTTTGGTTGTTTTCTTGCACATGTTTCATTACCCAACTAGGTAACATCATCAGTATTAGAACAAAGTTGAGCTGCAGAAAAGAGGAGGAGGAGGAGGAGGAGGAGGAGGAGGAGGAGGAGGAGGAGGAGGAGGAGGAGGAGGAGGAGGAGGAGGAGGAGGAGGAGGAGGACGACTATGGGATCCTTGGTGCTCTCTCTGCTTGGTGGTTTTCTTGTAGGCATTTCATTATCCAACTAGCTAACTTCATCAGTGCTAGAAGGGAATGGGGTGTGTGGAGAGTAGAGGAGAAAGATTATGGAGGAGAAAGGAAAAGGAGAACAACTATGGTAAATTTTCTTGCAGATGTTTCATTACCCAGCTAGATAACATCATCAGTGCACCACCATCAGTAATGAAGCATCTGCAAGAAAACCACCAAGCTCAGAGAGCACCAAGGACCCCACAGTTCAACCCTGACTTATAAATATTCTCTTCTATCCATTTGGAATCAACTGTACAAGTAGAGATTGAAGGAGAATTGAGAATTTTTTATCTCTGTGGAAGTGGAGAACTGAAAAGGGAATATGATTGTATCCAACAGAAAAGACCAAGACCGCTCGCCAGCTGTCCCATAGTGCGAGCCAATAAATATGACATTGGAGTTCCACAAAGTTAAATTCTTCACTTTGACAGTAGAATCCTATCTCAAGGGAGACCTTCAACTCTCAAACATAAGACATTTGTCAGGAAAGTTTTCCTCACACTTCTACCTCATTTCGATGGCTCTCCAAGTTGGAGGAGTCTATTCTGGTGAGGGATAGCAGAAAATCTTTTACCTCACAGGTTGTATACCTTTATTTGACTAGACCAGCATACAAAGGGGTGGTTGCTATCCATGTCCTGCTCCAAAACCTTTTATGAATCATGGGAAGGAGTGATTGAAGGTGAGTAATTTTCAGTGGCGACATCTAACCTGGCTGTCTTGTGAGAGCTAGATTTTAAAAATCCCTGCTCATTTGTCCGAGCTTTTGAATTGGTTATAAATACGGGATGTTATGATGATCGCTGACCTCTTTCCACTGGCTGCAATCATTGGAATCACCTGACTGAACCACCTCCTCCATAAATGATAGGACTACAATTCAGTGCAGATGTGTCACTGAAGAATCGGCAATTCCCACCAATCCTTTTTACTGCCTCTCTCCAGCATCTGTTTCCACACTGTTTTGGAATGTAAGAACCTTCGAAACTGCTACTCGGGGAGCTTGGAACGTTATAGTAGTAGGTAAATATTAAAAATGGCTCCCCATATCCTGCATCGGAGCAACCCACATGAGCGATATTCTGTTCCCAATAGTCTGAATCCAACTATAATGGGTTTTCTCAGAGCTTGGGAAAAAAAGACGACGGCTTACAAAATATTGCAAACATCGAACACCTGCAGTTTCTGGCCTCAGAGAGAGATACTTAGGCTAGCTCTATGCGAGGGCTGAATGCTTCCTGGCCTTACATCCACAGCCCGTTCTTTGAATCAGAAAACCTTCCAATTGTGTTATTCGTTCGCACTTTCAGTTCAGTGATATCAACTCTGTCCCAGAGCAGGATGAAGCAAGCGCCTGATGGATTTTATCTGGCATGAGAAGCTAAGCAGCATCGTATTTAGTTGGTATTTGGATGAAAGAGCTCCAGCAAATCTCATATACAGTATTTATATCTCTTTAGGATATGCAGGGAAGTTAAAATTAGGCCGTGGAAGAAAATGTAAATGTCTTCATGCTGTTGCCAAGAAAACTATGCAGATGTGTTCATGAAGCCACTAGGAAGGCAGTGACAAGCAGTGGCTTTTCCTTACTGGATCCCAACAGATGTACAACGGTACCTTGGTACTGTTCTGATCTCGACTTCCCCAGAAAGCACTAAGCAGACTCTTTGTTCTGGCAAAATCCCTTTTTATTAAATGAAGGTGAATTTCTTGCATTCACAACGAGCCAAAGGCCTGGCATACAGTCTTTTAAGATTGGTGTAATTAGGAGCACAGACCTCATCTAGCTTGGAGAGCTGCCAAGTAAATATTTCCAAATACTTTATGGGAAAAATTTGTTTGGTGCTCATTGTTTTTGGTACTCGTCGTAACGATGAGTACCGAGGTATGACCATAGTATGAATTTGGCTGGCAACCACAACACACAACCCCAGATGCCGGCCCCGTGTCCATCTCTTCCTTCCTACCAGGAAAGCCAGAATGGCTCTGATAGTCTTTACTTACATTTCTTTTAATATCGCATGACTTCACAACAAGCCTTAAATTCAGCACGATCACACCCATATCATCCTCTAAGCTATTTGGGTCTTCCAGATTTAGGATTTTTTCAATAGTCCTGGAAGATAGAAATGGAAATTACTCACAGCTAACAACTCCAGTCGAGCACAAGGAGTCTTTACAGGCGTCGATGGAGATTATTATCATTACCTTTGTTGTCAGAGCACAACATGTGTACAAGGAGATTGGCTGAGCCTCCCTTCGTGCACGCACGCACCCCCAACACAACTCACAGTGAGGACAGAAGTCCCTCACCCAGTCCCAATCTTATTACATCACGTGACCTTGTTGCACAACGCGCCAGCCCTGCAAGTCTGTCATACCATGTTGACATGAAGTTATTTTCCATTCAGGAGTCTGACAGCCCACAGGTAGAAACTGTTCTTCAGCCTGTTGGTGTGGCTGGCTCTACTTCTCTACCTCCTGTCCAATGGTAGAAGAGTGAAAAAGAGCTGACCGGGATGTGAGTCATCCCTGAGGATTCTTCTCACTCTTCTAAGGCAGCGAGACCTAGCGAGGTCATCTAGTGGTGTCAGGGAACAGCCCACGATGTTTCGTGCTGTGCTTACCACCCTCTGTAGAGTCTTTCTATCTGCGGCTGTCAAGCTAGCATAACACACCATCATGCAATATGTGAGGACGCTTTCTACTGTGGACCGGTAAAAAGAGATTCTCAGTCATCCAGGCCATGGTTTCCCCAAAGGGGCTTTGTCAAAAGGTAATTGGACTTACTTCGTTGTTGTTGTTTTTCCTTGAAGACATTTTGCTTCTCATCCAACAAACCTCCAGTTCAAACTGAAGAAGCTTCTTGGAAGAGAAGTAGGAAGTTTTCAAGGAAAAAAAAACACCCTAGAAAGTCTACTTGCCTTTTGACAAAAGCATTTTTGAGATAGTTCCTTTAATCTATGTATCCAAATGTTTATTGGAGATAAATGTACCCATGAATAAATTGTCTAGCTGCCTTTTGACAAAGCACCTTTGGGGTTTTTTTCCCAAAAAAATTTGGAGTGGGGGGAAGGCAGAAAAATGGATAGAAGATTATTCTTTCTCCAATGAAAAGGAAAAATTCTTCAACAGTTTTTACCATTTAGTTGCAAGAGAAGTAGCACTGATGGAAAAACTCTCTGAGAAGAATTCCTTCCGGAGAGGTCTCCATCGTACAGATAGACCTCAACTTACAACCAAAATGGAGACTTGAATTTCAACCCTAAGATCCTTGCAGCCATAAGTTGAGGCACCACATGACAGGACTCGCTTTTATGACTGGTTTTACAACAGTTGTACAGTGAGTTACCACGAGTCCTTAAGCAGGTCACATGATTGTTAAGCGAATCCAGCATATCGAATGGGCTTTTTTTTTGCCATTTTCTTGCAATTAATCTAATCTATCACCTTCTTCCTCTGTTGCCAGCTACTGTTTGAAGGGTCCTAGGGTAAACACGATACTGAACTGAGCACATTTAGAATAGAACAGTTGGAAGGGACCTTGGAGGTCTTCTAGTCCAGCCCCCTGCTCAAGCAGGAGAACCTATGCAAACTCAGACAAGTGACTCTTCTTAAAAACCTCCACTGGTTAATTGTCCTCCCTGTTAGGAAGTTTCTCCTTAATTCCAGGTTGCTTCTCTCCTTGATCAGTTTCCAACCATTATTTCTTGTCCTACATTTAGAAGTAAAACTGCTTTAGCAGTGTTCAGAAATGTAGAAACAAAAAGGCTTATGTCTATGGAGATTCTCAGTCATCCAGGCCTTGGTTGTCCCAAAGGTGTTTTTTCAAGAGGCAACTGGACTTTCTGGTTTTTCTTTGAAGACGTTTCACTTCTCATCCTGAAGAAGCTTCTTAGATGAGAAGCAAAAAGTCTTCAAAGAAAAACCAGAAAGTCCAGTTGCCCCTTGAAAAAGCACCTTTGGGACAAAAAGGCTTATATTTAATGTAAGAGCAAAACACTGAAAATGACTCAAATATTCATCGAGCCGTATAGAATGCAACAGTACCAAGCACTTTAAGTGCTCTGAAATGGAGAACTGCATTTGGAAAGGTAAACATAAATGTTAGATTACCTGTTCAGTTCCAGTTTGTGAAGCATTAGGACAGCTGAGCCCATAAAATCGGAAGAAGTCAAGTCTCTGTCATAAACCTGATGCATATGGAACGGAAAAACACAGATGTGATTATCTGGAAATAATTTCAGGTTCGTCTTATTATTTCAGTGTCTGCCAATGAAACTGAACCAACTATGAATATAACAAACAAGAATAAGTTCTCAGTCTCTGCAATCATGGCCTGTTTCTTGTTGTTGCTGTTGTGTTGCTATCACTTATTGACCTGTTCTCAAAAATACGCAACATATTTTCACAAGGCAAGGTGTTACTTCCTCCCCCTTTCCAAGTGCCACCTTTTATCTGTTGCAAACCAAGAGGGGTTTGTACAAGTTACCAGTAAGCCACCACAAGCTACTAATTATTTATTTTTACAACTGTAGTTCGGGAAACTAAGCAGGTCCATGTTTTGGGACAAGAGATACTTAAAAGTCCCAAAGTTCCCAAAGGTTTCCCATGTTTGCCTCCTTCAGACAGGCAGTTCCAAACACACTAAAACAGAGTTAGGCCCAGAAAGTCTTCTGAATCATCATCCATTTAACAACCTCATAATCCCTTGCAGGGTGGAGGCTGTGCAAATGAATGGACCTGAGTGTTTACTGGCCGGATGCCCTTCCTGTCACCAATGCAGAGTTCTTTTTCAGCAGATATATTTTCATTGTGCCCAGAGAGAGAAATATCTGCCTCTACCTAGGATTGAACGCACAACCTCCTAATTGTGAGGCGAAAGCTCCACCTCTAGGCCACGACACCACTCACCAGAAATTTTTCTGAATGTCTCCACCTGATTTAGAGTTAGAAAAAAAAATTTCTTTGAAACAGAGTAGAGGTTTTCAAGTAGATAGTACACTGGTATTGAAAAGATGAGATATTTCCCTGACACTCAATGGATGTGTGGGAAGCCAAGAGGCTGCCAACCTCCACTTTGTGAAGCATTACAACAGCTGAACCCACAAGTAGGTAGAAGCCAAGTCTGATCATACACATGGAACGGGAGAAGAGGGAGTGGAAAGAATAATAGAGATCTGATTGTCTGAAAATAATTTCACGTTGGTCTTTTTCAGTTCAATGTTGTGCCAATGAAACAGAACCACCTATTAACGTAATCCAAAAAGGAATAAGTTCTCGGTCTCAGGAGCAGTGTTTTGTCTCCAGTTTAGCAGGATTCTTTTGGATTCAGAAGCAAGGATCACATCAATAGGAGTATTGAAGGCAGTATAAATCCATAAATAAGTCCAAGACACCACAAGAAAAGAACACGAGTACTCAAGAATGTAAGAATACTACACAGCAAGGAAGGAAAGATTGTAAGCCCATTAGCCAATCTGGGAACCCCAAAGAGATAATGGCAGATGGTCTCCTTCAAAGCCACCACCCACTCATTTAGGTCTTCACTGAAGATGTGATATAGCCCAAGGGCCTTCAAACTTGACAGCTTTAAGACTTGTGGACTTCGACTCCCAGAATTTCTCCCCCAGGTATGTTAGCTCAAGAATTCTAGGAGTTAAAATCCACAAGTCTTAAACTTGCCAAGTGTGAAGACCTTCGATATAGCCTCTTAGCCATCTTCACTGACATCTGTTTCCCATGTTTCATCCTACTGGAATTTACCAAGGACAAGTCTAGCTTATCTTAGATTTGGAATGCTTCCATCTGGCTTTGCCAAAAACCACCAAGGATAAGGAGGATTTGTTTATACCAGATGTTGATGAGGCCATCTCAAGGTTATGGAGCATCTGTTTCTCAAGGTTTTGGGTTTCAATATGACAAGGTCACCCTACTCTATAGAGGAGTGTCCCACCAAGGACAGGGCAAAGCAAAGCGTGGATGGGGTTTAAGAAAGAGCTTTTGCCGGTGTATCTGGATGTCAATCAATCCTGGACATTCCCCCCCCCCCCCCCCCCAGGTAATCCTCAACTCACAACAGTTCATTTAGTGACTGTTCAAAGTTACAACGGCACGGGAAAAAAGTGACTTACGATCATTTTTCAGAGTTACGACCATTGCAGTATCCCCTGGTCAAAATTCAAAGTGCTTGTCAGCTGATTCATACTTATGACGGTTGCAGGGTTCCCCTTTGATCCCCTTTTGCAACCTTCTGACAAGCAAAGTCAACAGGGAAGACAGGTTCACTTCACAACCATGTTACCAAATTAAAAACTTCAGGGGATTCACTTAACGAATGCGGCAAGAAAGATCGTCAAATGGGGAAAAATTCACTTAACAAAGTGATTAAAATTAACAAACTTAGCAACAGAAATTTGGGGCTCCAGTGGTCGTAAGTCGAGGATTACCTGTAGTATATTCTGTATTCCTGAAAGACTACAGTGCATTAGCAACAACAAAGGATTACATTTGCAAGCACTGCATGCAGCGTTTATTTCATCTGTGGTCTATTTCTGGAACTGCTGATTCGTTCATAGGACACTGTTGCATCCCTGAATGAGTGGCTGCTCTGCCCTTGCTTTATTTTGTCCTCAGGAGAAGACATGGTATATGTGTATGTGTAGGAGATGACCAGGCTGAGTGTGAAGGGGGAATCAAATGCATCATCAGTTTGGAATCTCTATGCCGCCATAAGAGGCCTGAGTCCAGCCTCCTTTGAAATCCACTGACTCCTATCTGGTACCAATTGCCTTGACCATTAGCAGCTCAGATTCTCATGTAAAGGTAACATGAAATAAGTTTGTAGCACTTTTGAACTCTCTCCTGGTTCCTGACTTCTTGTACCTGACAATATGGGGTTCCACCTATGGAAAACATGGATAAGGAAACGATGGGAAATACAGGTAAGGAATTCAACACAGTTTTATGGAGGGAGGGAAACTGCATGGAAGGGGTTTTGCTTTGGAAAGACAGAAGGGAGGGAGCCTGCAACGTTCTGAAGACATCCTTAAAGGAAGTGAAGGGAGCTGTACAGGCTGCACTTCAAGCGGGCCATCTGGCTGTAAACATCCCCCAAGAGAATTACCTACGTTTGAAAGATTCTTTTAGGTAACAGCCCTTCCTCAAACAAAAATTAAAAATGCATGGGTGACTCCTCATGGGAATCTCCCTCCTCTTGTTCACACAACCAAGTTGGCTTGCAGGGACAATATCACACACTGTGACATTTGATACGGTTGGACAGACGGCTTACCTTCACCCAGAGCTTCTGCCCCAAAGATTGTATAGGAAGCACAACGGTTTCATCCCAAACTGGATTCAGGTTTTTATGGACCACTTTGCTTTTATACAGGGTTTTCCCATTCAGCTTAAACTTCACATATGGATCGCTTGTACCTTCATAGCAAAGCAAAATAAAGATTGTGTTAACATAGTTGTGGGGTTGTGGAGAATTGGGCAGCGTACACATTAAAATCATGAATATCATCATCCTAGGTTCCTGGAAAGCACTCAATAAGTGCCAAATCGTCTGAACATCTGGTTGACTGTGTGATGAAACATCATAACAAAAACAAAATAATAGTAATAGCAGTAATGCCGTGTTTCCTCCAAAAATAAGACCGGGTCTTATATTATTTTTTGCTTCAGAAAATGCATTAGGGCTTATTTTCTGGCTAGGTTTTATTTTCAAGGAAATACAGGACTAAATGTGTGTGTCTGGTTGACAAACTTAACTGGGGCTTATTTTGGGGGTAGGGCTTATATTACGAGCATCCTGAAAAATCATGCTAGGGTTTATTTTCCAGTTGCGTCTTATTTTCTGGGAAACACAGTAGTAGCAGTAGTTCCTCCCTGGAATCACCCTGAGGAGGTATTTCTCAATGTTTCTACCTGAAAAATGAAAAAGGCTTTCAATAGTAAAAGACCTCCTACATTAGATAGCCTATCAATCCAAGCTTGTAAGTGCCAATCAAAATTATCTTTACAGATTATATTTTCTAGCCAGCAAATAAAGACTCCCAGTGGAGCTCAAATTCTGATGGCTTCAGAGACACAGCCATGAGCTTTTCAAAGAGTTTTCCAAGGGTTTTCGTACAGTTTGGCCTCGTGGTTAAGGCCTCAGGCTAGAAATCAAGAGAACATGAGTTCTAATCCTGCCTTCGCCATGGAAGAAGGTTGGGTGACATTGGGCCACTCCTTTTCTCTCAGCCCAACTCACCTCACGGGGTTCTGGTTGTGGAGAAAATAAGAAGGGGCAGCAGTATTAGATACGTCTGTCACCTTGAGTGGTTTATCAAAATAACAAGGGTGGAATAAAAAATAAAAAATAAACAAACTGGAGATTGCTGATGCTTATTTGGGTCCAGATTTCCTTTGGCTCTGAGGTTTCCTTGTAGAACCTCACCTGATACATTAGGCCCAAAGTCTATCAAGGCCACCTAAAGGAAGAGATAACCCACTGACTTAAAATAAATCTATGAAGCAATAAACAGCAATATGGCACTTAGGCACTTTCCAGAAATGGGAAAATTTCTCCTTTATCTCTCTCTCTCCCTCCCTCCCTCTCTCCCCCTCCCACCCTCTCTCTCTCTCTCCCTTCCTCCCTCTCTCCCCCTCCTATCCACTCTCTCTTTCTCTCTTTCTCTCCCTCCCTCTCCCTCTCTCTCTCTCTCCCTCCCTCTCTCTCCTCATCAACTAAGACAATAACTTTTGTAAGTTAGTTAGTCTTCTTCAAAATGAGACGCCCCCTGTATTCAACACTAGACAATAAATCAACAAATACAGCCTGATTCTGTGGACAGTGCAGAACAGCAAAACCACTGGATAAATACCTAGCGGCAAACATTTCAAACGGAAAAATTGGGGGGGGGGGCAGTCAGAAACAAGAGGGACAGAGCTGACTGGTAACTTTTCCTTAATTTCTGTTCAATATTCTGAACACTCCTCCCCTTTCTTAAGCAAAAAATGATGGAAGACAGAAACTGTATGAAAAAAGGGAGAAAGGGGACAGAGAGAGGATACCCAGAGCCTCAGCTTAACAGAATAATAGAGTGGGAAGGGACCTTGGAGGTCTTCTAGTCCAGCCCCCTGTTCAGGCAGGAGACCCGAACCCATTCCAGACAAGTGACTGCCCAGTCTCTTCTTAAAGGCCTCCAGTGATGAAGCACCTTCTGAAGACAAAAGTCTTTCCACCAATTAATTGTTCTCACGGTTAGGAAATTTCTCCTTAGTTCTAGGTTGCTTCTCTCCTTGATTAGTTTCCATCTGTTGCTTGCACTGACAAAGGAATTCCATTAATAAAGAGAAGATGTCAGCCATTTTAAAAGAAGCCACAGAAATTCCCACAAGAGTTGGACCACCTGAAAGAGGCCACAAGCAAGAAAAGTCCGTGTCAAATTAAGTGGCCTCAATGCACAACGTACCCGTTGTTTTGTTTGGTTTTCTTTTGTTTGCTTAAGTGAAATGAGAAGTATCCATGCCACAAATCTCATCTTCAAACTACAGGCCAAACTAATCCCCACAATATTTCTCCTCCTGAATAGGGAAATAAAACACACACACACACACACATACACACACACACACAACAGCATCGACCACACCACAGCTTCGGCTGGGCGGGATAACCTCTTCCCCTGCTTCCTTCCTGCAAAGCAAGGCTCCCTCCCAACCCCGAGGAGCCTTTTCCCTTTTCTTTTCTTTTTTTGGGCAAGGAGGGGGGGAAAAGGCGAAATATAATGAAAGAGTATTTTAATTAAATGAGATAGGTTCCCTGGGATCAAGTCTTCACGCCTGTCAGCTCCCTCTCCAAATAAACATCTCCAAAGCGGCCCTCAGTGGTGTCACTTACGGGGTGGAGGGTGGAGGGTTGCAAAGCATGCTGGGTAATCCCCGGGCATCTTGACAGCTACCTAATGTTCAAATTGTTTCACGGGTGAGCGGCCGTCCTTGCGTGAAAGAAAATATTAATGTCTGGAATTAATAGGGAGATGGAAGCGGGCGGAGAGAGGGTGGGGAAACAGTATAGCCGGAGCCAAAAAAAAATTGGGGGGGGGGGGGGAGGGGGGGGAAGGCGGGGCCAGGTAGGGGGAGGGTAAGTGGGGGGGGGGGGGAGAGAGAGAGAAATAATTGAGAGGTTGGTTGTTGGAGAAGAGGGAGGGAGGGGTGGATGGATGGATGGACAGGCGGAGGGATGCTTCCTCCACTCCCCGCCCTTAGCCAAGCCAACCGTACAAGCCAGGCACCGCAAGGAAAGCTTGTCAAGGAAGTAACATCTCAACCAGGAGAATGACAGGGTGGGGAAGAGCAACAAATGGAGACAGGAGAAGGAGGGGAGCGGGGTCTTAAGAATGCAAGAGAGGGCGGGGGGGGGGAATCCCAGGGGGGCCTCTGTCAGTGTCAACAAACAGATGGGGGGGGGTGAAGCTTCCATCTCAGCAGTTTTACAAACAACCGAGCCGTGGGCATTGACTTAAACAGCCCCGGCTGACAAGAACCTGTCCGTTGAGCCCCCGCAGTCCTGGCCGCTGTTGTTCGAAGGGTCTGTTTTACCTTTCCTCCTCCTTTTTTTTTTTTTCTTCTTCTTCAAAAGGAGTAAAATATTTTCTCTGAGCAACATCCTGCCAGCCCACGTTAAGCCGTTGTTTTACTCGCAGGAAGTCAGAAGGGGAAAGGGAATGAACTAAAAACTTTTTTAAAAAAAAAAAAAAAAGAATTCCGGACATTGAGGGTTGGGGGGTAAAACCAGAACAATTATTGGCTTTATTCCATTCAGAGACGGGATGCTTGTTTGGTGAAAATGAGCCAAGTCCATTCCAAAGAGCGGCTAAAATAATTTGCTATCCTCCCAAGTAAATAGCAATAGGAGCGACAGCAACAGCACTTTATACTGCTTCACGGTGCTTTCCGGCCCTCTCTAAGCGGTTTACAGAATCAGCCCCTTGCCCCCAACAATCTGGCTCTTCATTTTACCCACCTCCAAAGGATGGAAGGCTGAGCCGATCTTGAGCCTGGTGAGATTCGAACTGCCAAATTGCAGGCAGCCGGCAGGCAGCAGAAGTAGCCTGCAGTACTGCATTCTGGCCACTGCGTCACCACAGAACAAGAACAAGAGGAGATGAAATCACAAACCTGGGAAGATCTTTTTGTGCTCATGGAACAGAGAACAAGAGAACTGGAAGATACCTTGGAGGTCTTCTAGTCCAGTGGTCACCAACTGGTGGTCCACGAGAAAATCGTCATGGTCCGCAGAAAAATTATTTTTTTATATTGCACTAAAATCAGGGGCCCTCAAACTATGGCCCCTGGGCCGGATACGTGCAATGAATGTTTGTGTTGCTGCAGAGAGTCTCCCCCTTTGGGGTCTTTTAGTGAAAGTTGGAGGGGGGCAGAAATTTCTGACTTGGGGTCTGCTTCAGCCTCCTGGTGTGGGGCTTTGGGCGAAGGCTGGAAGGCCTCGTTCCAGTGGGACTGCATCACGGCCTGGAATGGCTGACCATTTTAGCCCACTGAGCCTCTAGACGCCACCCCCTGGCCTTGCACTCCCACGTGTCTTCTCTCTGCTTGGAAAGCCTATGCTCGTAGTCCTCAGTGAGGTGCCTCTCTGTTGAGCCTCCTTCTCGGCCAGATCCAATTTGAACTGAGCCAGCTGTTTGGCCAACTCTTTCTTGTGGTGACTGCTTAGCTCCCACAACTGCTTCCTGTTGGGGCCTTAAGGAGCCCAGGTGGGCAGGAGTGGCTGGGAAGGGAGGGGTGAGTAGAGGCTGGCGAGGCGCCCCCCTCGACATGAGTGACACCGAGTTGGCCACGTCCATGCAGTCACGTGACCACCTAGCCACACCCACCCAGCTAGTCATTAGGCAGATCATATTAGTGGTCCCTGGGATTTAAAATTATGAATTTAGTGGTCCCTGAGGTCCAAAAGGTTGGTGACCCCTGTTCTGGTCCAACCCCCTTCTCAAGCAAGAGGTCGTCCAATTTCAACTCATCTGAGAATCACCCTTTCAACTTCAGTGGTTAAAAGTCAGCAGCCTGCTTTCCTTTCATTCCCAGGTTTATTCTTATCACAGAATAAAAAAGACCGACTTTGGTTCACTGGAAGCAAAACAACAACCACCGCTTTTGCCTTCCTAGCTGGTGAAGACGACATTGCTGCAAATATTGAAGTTCAGAACTGAAAAAGCTTCTTGGATGAGAAGTGAAACGTCTTCAAGGGAAAACCAAGTCCAGTTGCCTCTTGGAAAAAAAGCACCTTTGGGACAGCCGTGACCTGGATGGCTGAGAATCTCCATAGACGTTGCTACAAATAAGTATGATATTATAGGATATTGTAGGCTGGTGCTTCACTTAATAAGTTGTTCTTATTACTGTTAAGATAAAAGTTTTCCTGTCCAGTC